TCTGTTAAAACAACTGCTTCTTGGTCCAGGTACAGGTTCATCAGCACAATTAAGTGTTCCGGAATACTCATACTTTGCAATGTTGTCCATAGCGTGTCATGATCCAGATCCACACAATCGAATAAAGCACAGGTAAACATCTTTCTGATATTCTCTGCTTTTGACAATGTATAGCAGGCTATTTTTAAATTTGATCATTTTGTATGGCCCATGGATAATGTTATATAATTTGGCAGGAATCCTGGTGTGGTGGTAGGGTTAATGTGCTGGACTGCAAAGTTGGTATGAACCATAAAATCGGCAGTTCAAGCTCACCAGCAGCTCTTTGGAAACCCTATGCAGCAGGGTCACTCACTATGGGTCGGAATTGACTCAACTGTACTTAACAACAACCACCCCTGCTCTACAGGGTTGCTAATGACTTGGAAGGATTTGAGGGCATTGAACAAAAACACCACAGGCTATTAATTTACTGGACCACTGATATACATAATTGGTAGTTCTTCTAAACAGCTACCAATTATCCTAGCTCCAGTTACCCTGTGACTAGGAAATGACTTTGGAGATTACTGAGGGGTTTTTGGCTAACTCACCTTTTTCTTCCCATCCGTGCTCCCTCAATTCCTTGAAGCTGTCAATAACTCAGCTGTTAAGTGAACAATTAGACAATTCAGAAAATATTGTAATTTGTGCTAGTGAGGGAAGAGAGGAAAGAAAGAAGCTAGAGAAGGAAAAGAATTTATTGTAATCTGTAATTGCAGCTGTAGTCTTGAGCTTTCAATCCTGGCTACACGTTAAGAATCAATAGGAAGAACATTTGTAACACTATAAATGTCCACATCATTTAAACCAGAATCTTTGGAAGCAGTGTGTTAGGTGTGGCACTGTGGAACTGCCAACCACAAGGTCAGCAGTTCAAACCCACCAGCTGCCACTGGCAAATCCTTTATAGGATGGCATTTAACAACAAATCTTTAAGGCAGCAGAAAATCTCATCTTCCTCCAGCGTATGCATGCACATACATACACACATACACAAGGGGACTTCAAAATGTTCATGCATTTTCATTATCTTCTAATTCCATTTCCCCTTGAATTTTCTGAAACTCCAGGCATATCAGGCCAAGGAAACAAACCATGTATGTCCTTAGGCCAGATCTGGGCTGTGGGTCACTGTTACACAGCACTGGAGTCTGGGTGTGGTGCTACAGAATAAACACTTGACTGCTATCTACAAGGTCAGCAGTCCAAACCCACCAGCAGCTCCTGGGAAAACCTATCAGGGTCACTATGATTTGGAACCAACTTGGCAGCACTTAAAAGTCCCACGGGAGAAAGATGAGGCTTTCTGCTCCCATAAAGATTTACAGCCTTGGAAACCCTGTACAGGTCGCTATGAGTCGGAACCGACTCCATGGCACATAACAACAACAACGACATACAGATTTACCTTTAGGATCATTCAGTTAAGCTTTTGACTTCCAAGGTTAGATCTTAAACTTTTTGCATTCCTGCTTATGGCAACTGTTGTTGTTGTGAAGTGCCGTCGAGTTGGTGCCGACCCATAGCAACCCTGTATAGGGTTTCCGAGGAGCAGCTGGTGAGCTTGAACCGCCGACCTTGCAGTTCAAACGGTTTTGCAGTCTGGCGCATTAACCCACAGCGCCACACCAGGACTCCTATGGCAAATTAGGAGGGGGGAAAAGAGAGAAACAAAAATTTATGGAACCCATGCGATTATTTAAAAACTTCAATAGTTATCTATGGAAATAAAAAGTTTGTCTATTTCTGTATTAGTGTATAGATTTTTCCCAAAATGTAAAGGCCGTCTGACTAATGGAGTACTGGGAGACACAAGCAGTTTCTAGGGGGCAGAAAATGCTAGTAACTTACTTGATTAGACCCTATTGACATCCAAACTCACCCAGAAGTAGGTGCTTTGAATTACAGGCCTAGAGATCTGCTTTGGAAAAGCCTTGAAAACTCTACACAACAGCTCTACTCTTAAAATATGGGATTAGGTTGCCATAAATCCGAACCAACTCTATGGCACCTAACATGTGGATAGACAATCCACCAGAACATCAGCGGAGAATGAGCAGAGAGCACGCCATCCCTACATTTAAAGACTGTGGCCTAAAAGAATTTATCTAAAGGCCAAAGACAATGTCTTCCTGCCTTACTTGGTTATTTACTGCATTTCTCATAGGCAACTCTATGCTGACTGCTCCAGGGCAAGTCACCTTAGAAATTTCTGTATTTTACAATAGCGAAGTAAATATCTCAAGCAGTAAAGTTCGAGAACAGCTAATTCAAACAATGAAAAGGCCTCTCAAAGATACTAAAACGGTAGGGAGAAACTTTTTTTTTTGAAGGGCGAGGCCTATGCGTTTACTTTACCCTTGGCACTCTTCATATCAGGTCGAATTCTAAATTGTTGTCAGTGCCATAGAGTCAGTTCTGACTCTCAGCGATCAGTGTCTCCCAGGAGTGGCTGGGTAGTTTGAACTGCCGACCTTGCAGAGCTTAACTACAGCGCTAAGTCGTTCCCGAGTCCGAAGGTGATGATTTTGTAGACTTTGCAACCCACCATTCCTATAGCATTAGCTCTTGCTGTTGTTGTTAAGGACCTTGGAGTCTGTTCCGACCCACAGCGACCCTGTACATTCCGAGGTTGTAAATCTTTACAGGAGCAGAAAGCCTCATCTATCTCCCGCGGAACGGCTGGTAGTTTCAAACTGCCGACCTTGAGGTTAGCAGCCCGATTCGTAACCACTACGCTACCAAAGCTCCTAATAGCATTAACTCTACTGACTAGTTAAAACTACGTTTGGGTCGGACACACCGCTGAATTTTTCTCTTTTTTTATTAGCCTCCATGACCAACTGAATTCAATGTAAACCTCCCAGTGCCCAGAGAGAAACTGCTTTCATATTTACTTTTTTTCTTGGCGTCTCCGGCAGGTTCCTCTGTCCCCGGGGAGACTGCAGCAGAAGAAGGTGGGTCAGGAGTGACGGTTTCTGGGGAGACCTCTGTAAGTCCTTCCCCGCCTGCAGCAGTCGAGGGTGTGAGCTGCAACACGGACTCCAGCTCCTCTGCCATCTTGTTCGATGGGAGTGGCAGACGGAAGTGGCGCCTAGAGAGAAACTGCTTTCATATTTACTTTTTTTCTTGGCGTCTCCGGCAGGTTCCTCTGTCCCCGGGGAGACTGCAGCAGAAGAAGGTGGGTCAGGAGTGACGGTTTCTGGGGAGACCTCTGTAAGTCCTTCCCCGCCTGCAGCAGTCGAGGGTGTGAGCTGCAGCACGGACTCCAGCTCCTCTGCCATCTTGTTCGATGGGAGTGGCAGACGGAAGTGGCGCCTGAGGACGTGCAGTGGGCGGATTTTAAACGGGACCGTGTAATGAACGAGGCGCTGGGAGAAGGGGAAGAACTCAACTTATCAGAAAAAGCTTGATTTCCCTTCTACTTGTCTCTTGAGAACCTGTCACAGACCTCGAGCCGTTAATAACGTCACGTTTGCTTGTTGTTGCTTTCCGATAACAAAAGCCTCCGGAGTGTGGGGGCGCTAAACGTTCTCCTACGCGCCGTCTGCGCAGGCGCCTCTCGCCTCAGACCTGGAGCTGCTTCCGCTTCCCTCCTTGCCTGCCTCGCCCCGCCCCGGCCCGCCCCGGCCCCGCCCAGCGGCTCAGGAACGAGCGCAGGCGTGCGGGAGGGGGCGGGTGGGAAGGATCGCCGGCTAGATCCCTAGGCGAGGCTCACGCGCCCGCCCCCGCCCTGGCCCCCTAGTGCCCACCGGGTCGGCCCTGTCCAGCCATGATCAAGGCGATCCTCATCTTCAATAACCACGGGAAGCCGCGGCTCTCCAAGTTCTACCAGCCCTACGTGAGTATCCAGCCGCCTCCAACCCCAGCGAGGGGAGTCATTCGTTGGTAGCGGGCAGCGCCCAGCACCGTTTCCTCGGGGCGACCCCCTCAGGCGCGCTGCGGCCCTTCACGCGCCCCCGCTGCCCCGCGCTCTCAGGCTGGCTGCCTCTGGTGGGTGTGTGGTACACCCACCTCCGGCTGTCCTCCCATTCTCCGACGTGGCTCTACTCAGGCGGCTGCTCCTGCCGTCTGTGAGCTCGGTGGTTTTCCGGCTGGGCGGGCGAGGCCCTGGAGACTTCCCGGTGCCCGGCTCTCGGGCAGCCGCCGCCCACTGCCCATCGGACGCCCTCTGCGCTTTTGCCTTTCCGCTGCCGGCGGCTTCTGTTAGTCCTGAAGACACCGCGGAGTTCGTTCTCTCATCTCCACCACCCTCGCTCTGAAGCAGCCTTTCTTGCTGGACTTCTTTCTGTCCTCCGGTGGACAGATGGGCTACTGTTTTCACTGTAATCCTCATAGCGCAGGAACTTTGGCTTCCGGCGTGTGAATAACTGCATGCTCTGTGCAGTCTCCTGTTAATGTTTGGATGCACGATCGACTGCCTACATGTAACTATCAATTGTCACCTTATTAAAGAAAAAGATAAAGGAGGTACATCAGTTCCAATCTGTCAACCACAAATAATGTCACCAGTTATTTCAGGAATAAAAAGTCTACAGCCTTTAGGGGAGAAAGTCTGATAAAAACGTGATGTACCTCTTTTATCATTTTCTTTAATAAGGTGACGAACTGAGTCGATACCTGAAATTTAGGATTTCACCTGCTGGTTTGGCATTTTTCTGTTTGAGGGAATTTGTTCTAATATAGAGCTATTCAGCTTGTGGAGAATGTTATTTGTAAAACTTTTTTGTGTAAGCAGTGTTGAGAAGTGCAGGAGGCTTTAAAATGGTAAAGATAAGCAGTTTATGAATAATTTAGAAAGGTTTGTAGACGTACCTGTCCATCTGAGGACTAAATTCACCACTTGGCTAAAACACCTAACAGGATAGGATATTGTAGCGATATAACCATTATGTTTTATTGGGCATTTAGCTTGTAACCGGAAATGAACTTTCAATTAAATGTTGAAAATGTGCCAGGCTAACACTTAATGCACATAAATCCCAGATGGAAATCATTCTTGTCATTAGAAATTAAATGTAAAAGTGTCAGTTTGCCTAAAATTATAATGCCACCTGTGTAGGTGTTAATTGAAGTGAGAAATCTTGAGCTTATTTCTCATTTTCTAATTGGTTTTTATAGAGATAAAAGAGTTATTTTATACTACTGCTCCTTGATTCTAGTTTAATACTAATGCTCTATGTGAAGTCCCTGGGTGTGGCAGATTGTTAAGTACTTTTCCACTAGAGGAAAGGTTGGCGAGTCTAATTCACCAAGAGGTGCATCAAAAGAAAGACCTGACAATCTGCCTTTGAAAGGCCACAGCCTTGAAAACCATAGAGAGCATTTAGTTTCTGCACACATGAGTCTCCATGAGCCCTCATTGACTTGGCAGCAAATAATGACAGCAAAAACAAATTGATTTGTGTAAGAATTCTCCATTGTTCTTTAATCCAGGATACAATTCTTGTTGATCCTCTGAGTGAGAAGAATGTCATAAACTTTACATTGTTATCCATTTGCCCAAAATATAAAATCACACCAAATCCATTGCTGTCAAGTCAATTCTGACAGTTTTGAATCTATCTGTTCGTTGCTCTGTGGGAGAAAGATGAGGCTTTCTGCTTCTGAAAGATTTACTGCCTCAGCAACCCTATCTATACAAGGTCGCTATGAGTTCACACTACATTACACCACTACCACCATGGAAAAATGTATTTAATTTGGAAATCTAGGAATAGTCACAGTTAGCCCTCAATCTGTGGATTCCACATCAGTAGATTCAAACAACTAAAGATCTGAAAATATTGGTGGGGGAGTGGAAGGAAAACAATTAAGTGGTCAAAGCAATACTTTAAAGACTAAGAGGGAACAGCAAGTGCTGTTTACATAGCATTTACATTGTATTAGGTTTTATAGGTAATCTAGATGTGGTGTGAATATCGGAGGATGTGTACAGACTGTATACAAATTTTATGTAAGGGAGTTGAGTGTCCTTGGATTTTGGTGTGGGCTGGGGAGGAGTAGAGTTGGTGTTCTGGAACCAATCTCCTGTGGAGACTAAGGAAGGACTGTACATCAATTTACTTATGTCCAGCAGTAGGAATAGAACTATCCTTGGCTTCTACATTGCAGGTAATTCTGAATGTTACTGGGAATAGGCTGATCTGGCATCAGTAACATCTCAGGTGATATTTTTGGCCGCTGTTTGAGTGATAATGCTGATGGGGTTAGGGGGCTAGGAGGTATAAAAAGAATAATTTAACGGTTACTGGTAGTATAGAGGTGGGGATGCCAGGAGCTGCTTTTGTTTATTAGTCTTTCTTTCACATATTGGCTTTTGTCAACTGTGTATTTATTTTTTCTTTAAGAAATAATTTAAGATAATTTGTTTATATATTTGCTTCTTTTGCTAGACCCTAAGCTATTTTCGGGAGTCCTGGTGTGGTGTTGTGGGCTAATGTGTCAAACTGCAAAGTCGTTTGAACTGCAAGGTTGGTGGTTCAAGCTCACCAGCTGCTCCTTGAAAACCCTATATGGAGTCACTATGGGTTGGAATCAACTTGACAGCACTTAAAAACAACAAGCTATTTCCGAGCAGAAATCTTTTTCATTCATTTATTCCATCAAGTCTTTTATTAGTTTGTCAACAAATATTTATTACATGTGCAGATATTGTTTTAGAATCTAGATATGAACAGATAACTTCTGTACTTTGGGTAAGGGAAGTGACAAAAACTAATAAGTAGAATATATAGCATGTTTGTTGTTGCTGTTGTTAAGTGCTATCGTCGAATCTGACTCATAGCAACCCTGTGTAGGGTTTCCGAGGAGCGGCTGGTGAGTTTGAACTGCCAAACATATGGCTCAAAATGACCTTTCAGACCAGTGCATTCCTGCAGCACCATACCACGACTCCTGTAATAAATGTTGTAGAAAAAGTAAAGCAGGGAAGGGTGATAGAGTGTAAGGATGACAATTTAAAATTGGTAGCTAAGTCCCTACTAAGGAGCTCTGGTAGTGTAATGGTTACAAATTGGGCTGCAAACCGCAAGTTTGAAACTGCCAGCTGTTCCGCGGGAGAAAAATGAGGCTCTTTGCTCCCGTAAAGATTTACAGCCTCGGAAACCCTATACAGGGTCACTATGAGTCAGAACTGATTCCATGGCATATAACAAGTCCTCACTGAGAAGTTGACAATCTGAGCAAAGATTGAATGAAGTAAGGGAGCCAGCCTTGCAGATCTAGAGGGAAGAGTGTTCCAGGAGTGCCAAATATGATGGAGAAAATGCCTGTTTGAAGAACACCAAGAAAACTTGTAGAGCAAGAGCAGAATCAGTACAGGAAAGAATAATGGGAATATGAAGTCTATTGGTATACCCCAAACCCACTGCCATTGAGTGGAGTCTGACTAATAGCAATTGGATAGGACCATGTTTGTATGGGGCCATTCTGTTCTCTCTGGAATGTTTTTCCTTCCATTATCAAATCTGAAAATTTTCTAGGCTCCACTCAAACATCTCTACCCCAATGATCTTTAACTTGCTGAAACATTTGTCTTTATTATGATACAGTAGGGCACTGTAGGATAGGCACTGGACTGCTAACTACTAGGTCAGCGGTTCAAACCAACCAGCTGCTCCTTAGAAACCTTTTACAAGGTCCTATGACTTGGCACCAACTCCACAGCCCTAAACAACAGCAGCAGCATGATACATATAATTCCTTGAGCATCTTAGGGATTCCTTGAGTGATGGTATCAGGTTTTAGATATATTTGTGTCACCTTCAGCAGTCTGCACAGAGTCCTGAACTTGGAAAACTCAGTAAAACTTTGTTGTATGAATGAATGGAGCCTCCTGTCTCGGGATGGAGTTTATGTTAGAATTGACCTGAGGTTCCTTTCAACTCTTAAAATTTAGACTTTCATTTCCTAGGGTTTTTATGAATCTGTGCTTTTAGCACAGAAATAATGGAGGGATAGCTGTTACTTCAACTGATTCTGCTTTTAAGTTGACAGTTTATAAGAAGTATGTATGGCACTATAGGATAAGCACTGGATCGCAACGTAGGTTTGCACTACAAGATTGGTGGTTCAAGTGTGCTGAAGACCTAGGGGTACGGGGGAAGGATTGCATGGAGGGGATTGTAACCATGGCAATGAGATGATATATGATAGAATGAATGTAAAACTAATGTTCTGCCATGTAAACTATCACATAATTCACAATAAAACATTTAAGAAAAAAAAAAAAAAGATTGGTGGTTCAAGCTCACCAGCTGCTCCTTGGAAATCTTATGTTATTGTTAGTTGTTAAGTGCCGTTGAGTCAGTTCTGACCCGTGACCTTGTACAGGGTTTCTGAGGAGCAGCTGGTGAGCTCACACCACCAAATTTGCAGTCCAGCACATTAACCCACAGCACCACATCCAGGATTCCTGGAAACCCTATATTGTGAGTTGGAACCCAACTCCATGGCACATCACCACCACCAGGAGTCAGAACTGACTCAACGGCACTTAACAAGAAAAACATACATCCAATAAGACTGAGTTATGAATTTAATTTTTTTTTTTTTAACTTCATCTAAGGGTGTGACTGGGCTAACAGTTACATTCCTGATTGTTGTATGCCTTTAAGTTTGTGCTGACTCATAGCAACCCTGTGTAGAGTTTCCGAAGAGTGGCTTGTGGTTTTGAATTACTGACCTTGCTCTTAACAGTCCAGTGCTTCCTACAGCACCAAACTAGTATGGTACTGATCATTCAGTCCGGCAAGAGTAGTTTAACATGGAACAATTTTAAATATTGTATAACCTTTTGGCAACTAGTTTCACATACTGTGTTGGATATCCATCCCTTGT